TATCACTATTAGATGCATTTTGATGAGGTCTACAACTTTTATTATAAGTCCAAAAGTGATTTATTTAGAAAAAAAATTTTTAAATATAATATTTTCACATTTACTAATTGAAGAATTTATATATAATTTATATATAAATCTTGTATAACATGCATCATATAGCTCTCCAGATGACTGGCATTTATTAAATTAATTACTCTTCTGCTTTAAGTAAAAATTGTAAAATGCAACAGTAGTAAGATTATTAAAAATGGTCTAGCAGTTGTTGGGATATTACTAAAAAATAACTTACTTTTTGACAAAAATTTAGTTTTGGAAGTATTAAAGTGGCAAAAGAAGTTTTAGTCTTGTGAGTTTTTAATTCAAGAAGGTTTTTTTTAAAAATTTGTTTAACTTTCTATTTTTAATATTCTTAAATTTTTTTTATTTGCTGTTCTTATGTTTGAATACCAAATACAAAAAGAATCTATCTAAAGAAAGAAGTAAAAAAGCATGACTTCTTTGCAAACTGTCTAAAATATCTGCATTTTAATGTATTACATTTAAAGACTTTCTTGATAACAGTTCATATTGAGAAAACTTCAAGTTGTTATTAACTTCTGGTCTTAAGATGAAGGCAATAACAATACTATTATGAAGCAGTTGACGACTATATTATTTTCTTATATTCGTATATATCATTAAACTTTTCCTCTTTTATTTGTTAAGATGTTAAAATTTAAGCTACAAAAAAAAGAAGATAAAACAGTAATGACATAACATACAAAAATATGAGAATTTTAGAGCAGTCTTCAAAAGCATGACTGCATAAAATATTTATTAATACGCATTTTAATCATATTTTTTAAAAATTATTTACGATAAAGTAGTAAATTTTTAAAAAGCAAATATTTCATAGCCATTTTCATAAATTCTAGACAATAAAAAAATTACTAAGTGAATTAACAGGATTTGATATTGGGTAGACGTTGATAAGCTTATCAATTTGATTATCAAAAAAATTTAAGCTACGTACGTACGTATCCAAAATTTATGAAAATAGCCGTAGTCCAATAAGTAATACGATCTATTCACCAAAATTAATAGATACAAATATCCAATTTAATTCGAATTATCGGATCTATCCGAATTAGATTATGGTTCAAACAAAACACTATTTATTCATTTATTGTATCCCAATATAATACTCATTTGATACAAAGTGCCTGCGAGTAATCAATTTGAAAAATGAAAATTTTGAATAAGTTGTTTTGTGTAATGAAAGTGATCAATATAAATTATTATCGATATATAAAAACTACATAACGATAATTATTATTTGCCAGATAAAATAGATATCCATCAGTCGGATAACAGATACAATGTCTTATCATTATCTGCTCCCAGATTACGGTTATCTATTCAAGGGCCGAATCCGGGTCTGGTAGGATTTAGGTATTCATATTACCGTTACTAGTTTTTATCAAACGCTAGTGTGCAGATCAAGTAGTACACCCCTTAATATTTTTTTGACTGTTATCCACACTCTGTAAAAAGAAATTTTCACTGCTAGAAAATATACGATATTAATATTTCAAATTAAATAAGGGTCGGAAAACTTGTTTTCATCCTAAAAAGTTTACATAAAAATTTGACCATTGCTACAATTAAAAAATTTACCATCATGAAAAAATGGTTACGCAATATATTTGTAAACATCGTTCCAGATAATCCGATTGAAACTTTATGTAACATAAACATCGCCTCAGGTTTCTACGTACGTACTTACATAAGTATCATGAGTATCATGAGTATCATGAGAACTTAACATTAATATTAATGCTGCGATCATTTCTTGATACGCATTATCACAGAAGATTTAATAAGTACATAAAAATTTGGTACGTAAGCCTTGTATCAATTTAATATTTTTTTCAATTGTTTTTTTATTCATGCTAATTTTGGATAAATAAACTTCGCGCCAGAAAATAAAATGTGAGAAACAAAGTAATTTATTCAATCCATGGAACAAAATTAACAAATTAACTATATAGAAATTTAATGAAAAAATTTGCCAGAAATTTCCTATATTTGTTACACTGTTCGAGCATTAATTGTTTAATGTAATGTAATGTAATGTAATGAGTCGTTCTTAAACACCTAGGCACGTATGTACGTACTTACTCTTTGTTCAATAAATAAAATTCAAATATATAGATCCCCAAAACAATTACTAGTATTATTTGTAACTCGCGACAGATGGTTACGTATTCATAAGAATGTTCGACTTAATCGTACTGAAAAATTTTAAAATTGGTCACCTTTGAAAATAATTATCAATACTGCAATACGGTTATTATTTGAACTTGATAGTCAAGTAGGATTTCGCATAAACTAAGGGCCTACTGGGATTTGAGTTGCAATATTTCGACGTTGACCTTTGATATTAAATTATAGAAATGTTTTGGTAATGTAATAATGCAGAAGTATATTCGGCAAAGTCGACATAATATATACTCCAAGAGGTCAATTCCGTTAAACATTTTATTACGGTTAATCCATTAAGCGTAAATTATGAATGTAATGTAATGTATGTGTTCCCATGGTTGTGTAAATTATTGAATTAAAATGTAAATATTCATGAAGTATCACAATTAGTAAACAATTTATTAACTATCTAGCAGGATATCTGTCTAGTTATCCTTAGCATATAAACATTAGCGATATCACGAAAACATACAAGTAAATAACGATAGAATTAACTACGTCTATTTTTGATGAGTCCGGTCAGGTTTCTTTAAGAGACGGGGATGCTATCCCTAAATTTAGAATTTAGATGACAAATGGGATCTATGCATAATAAGAATTTGTAATGCGTACGTACGTACGTAATACCATTATGAGATTGTTCATTATAATAATAAGAAACTTTATTGGTGAAACTTTCCCCATTGACTGATTGCCTATTTATTCGGGACTCATAATCCCGGGTATACGGAAACAAATGTTATTTTGCAGGTAATACGTAGTTAAGAACCCTTTTTTTACATGGTGGATCTTCAGCTGACCGGAGAGATTTACCATTTGTTATCTCTTATTACCTGCATTACCTGCTATACGGAAAATAACAATAAGTGTACACAGTACATCAATTCACAATCTTCCAATTTAATACAAATAATAGCACAAGTCACATTCTACGTATGTTAAAAACAATATCGGAAAAGGAGATTTTTATTTGTATGGAGGGGAAGTTGAATATAATGAATTTTAAAATGTAAAAAGTGTAAAATATGTAAAATATGTAAATTGTACTGAGATATTTGCTCGAACAAACATTTTTAGCATTTTTGATGCGCAAACATTATTAAATATTTGACTTTGAAAACGAAATAATCGATTTTATAAAATGAACTTTTCATAGTAAGCTTCTATATGCCTTTCGGTAAGACCTCGGTCTTGAATGTGTTATTAATTTTGGATTACGTTGTAACATGGTCTATGTCGAAGCAAAAAAAAAAAAAAAAAATTAGATAATAAAATTAGTTAATAAAATTAGATAATTATTAAATGTAAACGTAAAAGAAAATAAATTATAATTATTACCCTTGCGCATTGGTTGTAAATACGGAGAATCAAATTTATTAGTTGAGAAATCATTTTATAAGAATTTATAAGAATAAATTGAAAAGTGGTTATTTGGAGAATTAGATGATTCGAAAATCCTTGGTATTTTTACACTTGAGTTTTCTTTAGAATTTGAACGTTTTCACGAACTATTTATATATAAATTTAGCTTAAAAATTGAAACGTATATTTATGGACACAATTAATTAATTGATTCTGTCAATGGGCATGAATGCGTATACAATGTGTATATCCAACATCTCGGAAAGTTAATCTAGGGCGTCTGTAGTTGGGAAGGATCGTACAAGGCATTATGCTAAATAGAAATGTTCCGACAACGATAATGCATTATAGGGTGATATTAATATCTAATTTGAGGGCTTGGATGCGCTTTGTATGCTTGTCCTGCCAATCAAATCCTAAATTTTTATCAACAAAAAAATAAACACGAATATGAGAAACAGGTTCAAAATTATCTCAAAAAAACACTAATAACAAAATGTCTAGGTGGCGATTATACGCTAAACCAAACCAACCACCAACCATAATTTTAGTTGATTATGTGGGTGCCCTCCTTAATTTAACAGGTAAAGATACCTTAATATTTATAATTGTAATCGTAATCTATATTTATTATACATACATGCCGATACCCTTTTTTTTTTTTAGAAATTTCCGTGTTGGCTGAAAGGTTTTCTTGTAAATCATGTCAAAAAAAAAATCATTAACAAAATCATTAGCAAATGGGTGAATCAAACTTGGTATTTGGTTTTATCTAATCTTAAAGTCACGCGGTGAAGTATTCTGGATACGTTTATTATATATTTACGTACTATTTTATCCTTATTAGTACACTATTCATGCGGCTTTTGGAAATGCTAGGTACCCCAACATTTAAATGAACTGCTTTTCTGGGTACAAAACAGATTCAAAAACAGATTCTCGGATGTACAGTACACATTAGTATTCGTTTATTTATTTATTATTTTATTTTATTTTATTTTATTTTTTACATTCATTTTATAATGATGAAATCGTAATTTATCCTCTTCCCCCAAACGCAATTCTACTATATCATTTTAATACGCAATTCTACTATATCATTTTAATACGCAATTCTACTATATCATTTTAATACGCAATTCTAAAGTGAATTCACTTTTAATTTTTTTCAGATTAAAATACGTAATTACATTTTACTCATTACATTTACCTACTCATTACATTTACCTTATACACGTCACTCTGGTTATGTATTGTTATATTATATTTAATCATTATTACATTCATTATAGTCATGTGATCTTATAATTTTACATAAGCGACGATGTAAAGATTTTACATAAATTTATTAGCATGAAAATAAGCAAATTTCCCTTTGGGCTCTTCAAAGCATGGACGAGCAATTGATGCGACAAACTTCCTTTGTAAAGACAGCTTGCGATGATCTTTCATCTACAAATCTTGACTCTCAATTAGAAACTGAATCCCAACAATCAACTTTTCGCTGCGTTCCCGATCTATTGGACGGAATCGATCAAGCTTCTCCTATTGCTTCTCCCATTGATAATTTTATTGTGCCCACCTTGCCAACGATTGTTGAAGCTCTGTGCTTATGCTCGGAAATCAAGCAGATCAGTACTAAATTATGTGAAAACAGTGAAGCTGGTGATGAGCATGTTCGTTTCATTTAATTTCTTATCAATCTTTTATTATACTTTGAGTCATTTTGAATTATTCATTTTTGCTTATTAATTAGGGGACGCCTGATCCGGCAATAAAACGTCAGTTGGATTTGAATTTCATTAAACTTAGACAACTAAATCGAAAAATTTATCTGGATAAACAATATATTAAAAATAAAACTCAATCTGCAAAAGTACAAATGGATTGCGCACATATGAAATTACAAGAAGTTATGTTTCAGAAATGTTTGTTAAAAAATATGCTTAGTAAAGTTCCACGTAGGTATGTCGGTTTATTTTTTGTTCTTATATTACTCTATAATTCATTATCCTATGTATTAATTTAAAGCATTTAATATTAGATTCAAATTTGAAGATATTTCATTAATGCCTATTGATGAATTCATTAAAACTGCTCCAGAACAATACCTCCCCGTTCTGTCTGAAGATGATGATTCTAAACAATGTAATCATCAATTATTACTGGCTCAATTACAATACGAACTCGTTGAGCGTACAAAGTTAAATTTATATTAATCATTGTGTATATTAATCATATTAATTAATTGTGTGATAAATCATATTAATGTTGTCAAGTTTACATTAAATTTTATTAAATAAGATTGAACGGTAACTATCTTGAAAAATTGAAAAGAAAAGAGGATGCTCTTCGAAGATTAAAAGGAAAATCAAAATTATATCGCGAAGTTAATAAAATAATGTTTGATTCATTTAACGTAAGTACTTCATACCATCTTTTATTTCTTTAAAATTATCGTTTTTATTGTATTTAATGTATCTATTTCATATTTATATAAAAAAACAGACGATTAAATCTCTTCAACAAGTTAACTCATCTTTAGTAGCTTCTGCTGATATATCATCACCTGAAATTATGACATCTTTAGCCAATCAATCATCAATTGAACATTCAAACTCCATGATTGTTGATAATTGATAACATAAATAATAGCACTTGCTTAAAGTACTGTATAATATCAATGATAATTCATAGAATATTGTGTATTACTGTATTATACATTATGATTTGACTTTGCACTTATGCCAACTTATGCTCACTCATGTAAAATAATTTGTACTTCTTTAATAATAGAAGTCTCAAAAATTCAATTCCTTTTTTTTTATATAATCCAAAATTTACCATTTTAAAATCAATATCTCTTTCAAAAGTCGCCATGCAACAGATTTTCTTAATTGGCAGAATTATTATATAATTCAAATTTATGAATTCAAGGTTTGATATTAATGAGATTATGTCACACAATGCGCTCTAAGAATTTTCCTCCTTTTTTTTTTCTACTCGTGGGATGAATTACGTTTACAGGTATGTTTCAAGCACAGCATTTAGTTCAAGAAAGAAATGTACAATAAATGTCAATAATGAAATTTATATTTGTTAGCATTGGTCTTCGATTCTTAACAGCTTCCCTACCTTGTTTAGTGCATCGAAAGTGCATCGGGGGGTGCGTCAAGTGCAAGTGTAACCAAGGTTCGCATAAGGAGAGCTTCTTCTTGCGCTGTAAAAATTTCCAATTATTTAATATAATTGGAAATTTTTACTTTGTATTCGCAATGCAGGAAGAAGCTCTCCTTATGCGAACCTGCACTTGACGCACCCCCGATGCACTTTCGATGAACTAAACAAAGTAAGGAAGTGTTAAAAATCGAAAAAGACCAGTTATATTCGTGTAACTGCTATATTCGTGCAAATACTTTGAAGGTTTTCTTAAAAGTAAGATGCAATAAATGAAATAGAGAATATAACAAATGATAAGATTTTTTAATATAGGTGGAATATAACGATAAAACCTAATTATTAGGTCAAACTATTGATCAACAAAAAAATGTATGATTTTTCTCTCAAAATATTAAAATATTTCCAATGATTATAAAACAAGTCGATCAAAAATATATTCTATTAATTAAAACTACACACATTCATGCGATAAGTATTGTATGATAACATGTTAGCTAACACGAATGTGTAATTAATACTGTAGTTAATACCTGATATGTATTTACATATTACTAGGTGCTATCACAAAAACACAAAGTTTTAAAGAACTATGAGCTCGATCCTTATAACTCGTATTGGTATGCGTGAGTGCTAGCCTAACGGCTAACGATAAGAAAATCAATTCTGTCACCAATTTCAGTCTATTTTTAACGTATTAGGATATATTGGATGTGTGCTATTTGAGTGCGTAGAGCTTACTAGTTTCTTATTCTTGCATTTATTCTAATATTCACTTAATGACCAATATTATTTCTAATATTTGCTGAATGATACATATAGTTGTGAAACAGCCAATGATTGAAGTTTCGCGTGATAATAATAAAACTATTCAAAGAAATTTGCTTATTCGAATAAAAATTCGTAGATAATTATTTATTCAAAGATTCACTGAATACGAATAACAAATACGAATACGAAGCTCTAGGACCGCGTCGCTTAAGTCGGTGTTGTTAAACGGTTTGTTTATTATATTATTAATCGGCTCAGGAATACTAAAACACAGTACTGTATAGGTTCCCTGGTTTTCACTTAGTGACACTCATACAAGACTTTTCTTTGGCATTCACTTTGTCAATAGGTTAATTTTACTGACATCATACTGTTATACAACTTAACGTGTTACTCATACAGTATACGTATTACAGTTGTTTTCATAAATTCTGGCATACTAAAAATTTGTTCGTTTTTTAAAATCTCCTCGGTCTTATTATAAGAATCTTTGGAAACTATGACGTTATCTTCGATGCTTCGACCAGGAGACAGCGATATAATCTCTGGAGATAGATAAACCAAAGAGATTCGGAAAAAACAACAAATTTTTTAATTTCTCCCAGAATTTATGAGTTTACTATCCTAATCGTTCCATTTATGTCATTAATTTTAAAACAAAAAAAAATTATTTGTAAGTCTATACATATCACTTTAGATCTGGCTAATTTTTCGTTCAGAGTACCGCTTATTTGTGCGATTTAAATCGAAGGTTTTTATAACAAATATTTTGACCGGGTCAAGTTTTTTATGGAATATATTCAAAAATACCAATTTTCGGATTTCAAAAGATGAACTGTAGGTTTCGCGTATGAGCTTTAGATATCAAGAAAAATTATTTATTCACTAATCATAACAGATTCATTGATGACATTATCAGCTATTACAATAAATTTCTAAAAAATAAAAAATTATAAAGTTTTTTTCCAAAAAAACTTGGCTATTTTTTTTTTAACCATCTTAAGAAGACTGATTGTAACTCTCAGATTCTTTGTTATATTTGAGAGATTCGTTGTCGTGACTATAACTTTTATTTTCTTTATGTGGACAACCGCAATCATCATCATCATCATAATCATAGTCATTGGACCACCCTTTTTGACATAAAATTTAACGTTAATAAAAATCAAACAAAAAAAAAAATTTAACAGTTAATAAATAAATGGTTTACGTTTATTAAGAACTTTAACTTTAGCCTTGAAATCTGGATCACGCTTGATAACTGCCGCATCGGCGATGAAAACGATTGTTGTGAGTGCAATGAGTAAAAGGATAAAGGCGAAAATTGGTTTCATGATTTCTTAAACAAATAGTGGATGGGTTTTTGTTGTTGCAAACTTTATTATAAAATTTTATTATAAAATTGTCCTGTTGTGAATAATGAGAAAGGTGGTCTCTAGGCAATGCTTTTATATCTTTCTTTTCATATTTGAATTAGCGATGAGAATACTTTTTGAATCATACAAATAATATTCTTAAAAATAATGAATGATAAGCGTTCTATGGACTCCATTGCTTTTTTTTTCGCAAAACTCTGAATTATGAATTAAGAAACGAATAGAAACAATATTAACCTTCAAGATATAAGGTGTCTCTCATTTCTCCTTTTTCAGGTAATTACAAAGCATATATAACAAAAAATGATATTGTCTTTCAAAATAGTTTCTTCAATTTGTAGAAATTACCGCGCAAACTTTTTTCCTTAATTCCTGAAAAATCTGTTCCTATTTTTATCATCATATCATTCACTTTTTTTT